GGAGGAGGAGGAGGAGGAGGAGGAGGAGGATCGAGCTATTTTCCAAAGCCCCCAAAGGCCAGTCATGGAACAATGGATGGAAACTGATCAAGGAGAGATTCAACCTGGAAATAAGGAGGAATTTTCTGACAGTGAGAACAATCCACCAACGGAACAGAAGCTGCCTTCAGAAGTTGTGGGAGCTTCATTACTGGAGGCTTTCAAGAAGAGACTGGACTGTCAGAAACGGTGTAGGGTCTCCTGCTTGGGTGGGGGTTGGACTAAATGACCTACAAGGTCCCTTCCAACTCTGCTCATCTGTTACTTAGGCCAACCCTACCTACTTGTGGTAATTCTGCTAAGTCTGACTCTCCTTGTCATGGTCTTCTCAACTTGATGTCTTCTAGGAGAGTGGAGCTACATAACTAGAGAACACCTGGTTGAGAAAGTCCTCTAAGCCCAGTGGGGGAAGTCTCCAAAGTTGACATCTTTAAGACTTTGTGGACTTCAACCATGCTAGCTGGGGAATTCTGGGAACCGAAGTCCACAATGCTGCCATATTTGGAGACCCCTGCTCTAGCCCAACCATCCATCTCGATAATGTACTCCACCTTCAAAGGTTGGTATTTTCTATCTGCCTTGCTTTTCTTCCACTTCTGAAGAAGTCACCAGAGGCCCATAACTGTGTGTTTTAGATCTCGATTCTGCTGAAAGTGTAATTCTCATGGTAGACTTAACTAATCCGGTATTCTACACGCACTGTGAACAAGAAATGTTAATGAGATGCCTTCAAGGACAACTCAAGTGGAAAGGCATCTTCTTATTCGCCTGCAACTGCTCCTCCAAGAAATGGTGCCTCAAACACTGGTTATAAATCATAATAATCATAACTGTACCACCATAACACAGGTAGTCACTGATTTATGACCAGTTCATCATCTTTTAATGACCCCATAATCCCATGCGGGGTGGAGTGTGGGCAACTGAATGAAGCTAGAGTGTTTTAATGGCCAGATGCCCTTCCTGTTGCCAATGTGGAGTTTTGTTCAGCAGATAAATTCTCATCGTGCCCAGAGAAATACCTGCCGCTACCTAGGATTGAACTCACAGCCTCCTGATTGTCTAGGCCACCACACCACTGATTTATGACCAGTTTGGGGGGCGGGGGCAATAGTTGAAATGCATCACTGTTTTGTAGGACATCTAGTCCAACCTTCCACCCGAACAGGAGACCCTACGCCCTTTCTGACAATCTCTTCTTGAAAGGCTCCAGTGATGAAGCTCCCACAACCCTAATCTACAGTAGCTGCCTCAGTGTTTTGCTTCCTACGGGTCTATTACTTGGAACCAGGGTGGGATTCAGCCAGTACGGACTGGTTTGAGATCGTCGATAGGTCTGGTGATCAGTTGGTCCCACCCACCTGCCCCCTGCGCTCGTCAGTCCTATATTTCTTTCGTTTGAAGCCCAGCTGATAGGCAGGGCAAAGCGGATTGCCACTACTCACCGAGGCTGCAGGAGAAGGTAAGTTTTAGAGCTGGTTTCAAACACACTGTGCGCGCGCATGCACCAAACCGGGTTGTTACACCGGTTGAATCCCACGCCCTCCCTTTTACAAATACGTGTGCCCTTATTTCCATTTCCTTAGGCAGAAGAAAAATCCTTCAGCAATCCAGGTGTTCATTTTTCCGCGAAACCGTCCGACCTCTAAAAGCCTCCCACGACAGACGAGTGATGCCCGCTGCTGGTTTCTCCGGCAGTGATGAGGATGGAATCAAGGTTTGATGCAGATGGCAATGATGGTCAGATGGCAGGGTGGAGGCCACTGGCCTTGTGGTCTAGGTCTGACCACATGCATCCCACTTTCATTGCATACAGGACGCATGAGGTTGGACCTTGACCACAAGGGTGACATGCCCCAGAGTAGACAAGACAAAAGGTGCAATCGAACGAGACAACGATGGGAAGAATTGACCATGCAAAGGTAATGAGGTCATCACAAAACACACTTGAGGATTTCCCAGGATTGGTGAGCAGTCAATCCCATGTCACATTCAGTACACAATCTAACATTCTACTTCTACGCATGTTGCTTTCCTGATGTTTCTATGCTGGTTGATCTCACGGCGCTGGCCTTACAAAACAGCTGAGCTGATTCACTTCCAGGCCAGCTTCAGGGCATCTCAAATCACAAAAATTACTTCTTTGAGATGCTAGAGCTCTGGGAAACCTGGGGGAGGCTGGTTGGTCATTGCCAGGACTTCCTCTCGCCATCCCACCTTCCAGCTTCTTAAGCCACTCTGAAGAGATCCAGCCACCGTTACAATTTGCTCCTTTATATCCCATGAATTTTCAATACCGCAAAGGAATGGCGGCTTAGCAGCACTGCATCTTCCCTCCGTAGCAACTGCTTTGATTTTTTTTTATTTTTTCCTGCCCCAGATACTCAACATAGAAAGGCACACAATGTGAAATTTTAAAACAAGGAATGGACAACACACAAACGAATGGAGGAGAAGGTTGCATTCTTTGATAGGTCGGCTCGGAGGAAGGACTCAGAGCAAGCTTGGCTTTCTTTGCATTTAAGGGCCCATATTAATGCATTCAATTACGAATTGGCTCTGGGCTGCTTCTGAGAAATTAGAAAGTGAAAAAGGCAGTGGAACGCAAGTATTTTCAGCAAAAACTTCCACTATTGGCCTACAGCCAGTGGCTTTGCTCCTCTTTCAACACACACCGATGTTTACATTTTTTGCACCAAGCGCTGGAAATCCTTTTTCCAAAGCAAAATGTCCACAGTGCTTATTCTTCCTTCACATCTCTTTTCTCCCGTCCAGGGGAACACTCTCCAGACTAAATTTTTTGGCTTTTCCCTTCTTTGCCATTCAGACAATTTACAGCAGATAGGATGACAGTGCTGCCAATGCCCGCCCCCCTCCTTTCCACCACCACCCCTTATTCCAACTATAATGTGAGATCATGATGGTTTTGAATGACAGTTCCTCTCTGATCCCCGTAGAGAAGGAAATCCCTCCGGAAGGTATTGCATCAACCGTTCCCACAAGTCCCCTCCCTCCCTCTCTCTCTCTCTCTCTCTCTCTCTCTCTCTCTCTCTCTGTCTTCTGATTCTCTCTGTCTCTCTCTCTGTCTCTATCTATCTCTCTGTATCTATCTGTCTCTGTCTGTGTCTCTCTGTGTCTCTCTGTGTCTCTCTGTCTGTCTTTTTCTGTGTGTGTCTCTCTCTCTCTGTTACTCTCTGTCTCTCTCTGTTTCTCTCTCTGTGTGTGTATGTGTCTCTCTCTGTCTCTCTGTCTCTGATTCTCTGTTTCTCTCTGTGTGTCTCTCTGTGTCTCTCTCTGTTTCTCTGTCTCTGTGTGTGTGTGTGTCTGTCTCTCTCTGTCTCTGTCTCTCTGTGTGTCTCTGTCTCTGTCTCTCTTTCTCTGTTACTCTCTGTCTCTCTCTGTTTCTCTCTCTGTGTGTGTCTCTGTCTCTGTCTCTCTGTCTCTCTGTCTGTGTCTCTCTCCCTCCTTCCCTCCCTCCCTCGCTCGCTGGACCCATCTGAAAGCAAGCTCCTCTGCTTCTGCTTCACTTCAATGAAAAGCTTCCCCAATTATGCATAAATGGCAGCTGCCTCCAGCCCAAGGCTTCCTTTGCAAGCTAGAGAGAGGCTCTTTCCGCATTGCTCCCTCTGCAGATAAACAGGCCCAAACCACAACCATACACAGTACGTTCATGCCTCAAAACGTCTAGGAAGTTAGATCAGTTCCTCTAGGCAAAAATGCCACCAAGCTGAGCAGGGTTAGACAACCCAGAAAGT